CCACAGCAGAAATCATACTGGAGAGAAGACCTACAAATGTAAAGAATGTGGCAAAGCTTTTGGTAAAAAATCAAACCTTATTCGCCACAGTAGAACTCACACTGGAGAGAAGCCTTACAAATGTAAAGATTGTGGCAAAGCTTTTGGTCAAAAATCAAACCTTATTTGCCACAGCAGATATCACACTGGAGAGAATCCTTACAAATGTAAAGAATGTGGCAAAGCTTTTGTTCAAAAATCAGGCCTTATTTACCACAGCAGAAAGCACACTGGAGAGAAGCCCTAGAATTGTAAAGATTGTGTCAAACCTTTTGGTCAAAAATCAGACCTTATTAACCAAAGGAGAATTCACACTGGAGAGAAGCCCTACAAATGTAGAGAATGTGGCAAAGCTTTTGGTCAAAAATCAAACCTTATTCACCACAGCAGAAATCACACTGGAGAGAAGCCCTACAAATGTAAAGAATGTGGCAAAGCTTTTGGTAAAAAATCACACATTATTTACCAAAGAAGTACTCGCACTGCGGAGAACCCCTACAAATATAAAGATTGTGGCAAAGCTTTTGATCGAAAATCAGACCTTATTTGCCACAGGAGAACTCACACTGGAGAGAAGCCCTAGAAATGTAAAGATTGTGGCAAAGCTTTTGGTCGAAAATCGGACCTTATTCACCAAAACAGAATTCACACTGGGAAGAAGCCATGCAAATGTGCAGAATGTGGCAAAGCCTTTGGTCACAAATCATACCTTATTTGCCACAGMAGAACTCACAGTGGAGAGAAGCCCTACAAATGTACAGAATGTGGCAAAGCTTTTGGTGACAAATCCGACCTTATTCGCCACAGTAGAAATCACAGTGGAGAGAAGCCCTGAAAATGTAAAGAATGTGGCAAAGCTTTTGGTCAAAAAATAGACTATATTGACCACAGCAGAACTCACTGGAGAGAAGCCCTACAAATGTGAAGAATGTGGCAAAGCTTTTACTCAAAAACATTCTTTATTTGCCACAGAGAACTCACGCTAGAGAGAAGCCTTATATATGTAAAGAATGTGGCAAAGCATTCAGTCAAAAATCACAACTTGTTTGCCACAACAGAACTCACATTAGAGAGAAGCCTCACAAATGTAAAGTATGTGACAAAGTTTTTACTCAAATATTACACCTTATATGCCACAGAAGAATTTACACTGGAGAGAAGCCTTAAAAATATAAGGAATGTGCAAAGCTTTTAGCAAAAAACAGGCCTTATTTCCACAATAGAACACACAATGGAGAATAGCCCTACAAGTGTGAATAATGTGGAAAATCTTTTAATAAAAAATAAAACGTGGGCTGGGGATGTGGCTCAAGTGGTAGTGCGCTTGCCTGGCATGGGTGCGGCCCGGGTTCAATCCTAAGCACCACATACAAACAAAGATGTTGTGTCCACTGATAACTAAAAAATCAATATTAAAAAAAATAAAATAAAACGTTATTCACCACAGCAGAAGACATCCTGGTGAATGTGAAAAGTGAATAATGTGATAATACTTTTAAAGAAAGACTAAACTTTAGGCTGGGTTTGTTGTTCAGTGGTAGAGTTCTAGCCTTGCATGTGTAAGATCCTGGGTTTGATCCTCAGCACCATATGAATATAAATAAGTGAAATAAAGGTATTGTGTCCAAACACAACTAAAAAATAAACATTAAAAAAAGAAAGACTAAACTTTATTAACAACAGAATTTATACAGAAAACAATCCCTACAAAGTGAAACAATCCAGCAAATCTTTTAATAAGAAATCAATTCTTTTCACCACTAGGCTACTTATTCTGTAAAGAAGACATATAGATGTAGAGAATGTAGAAACATTTTAAATTATATATCATATATTACTAGACATGAGAGAAAACACACTGGAGATAAGCTGTACAAATTAGACCATTGTACCATTGCTCTAAGAAAGGGACAACATTTAATCCTCACCACAATAACCATAGCATAGAGAAAGTTTTGAAATGTGGAAATTGACAATGTGACAATGCCTCCAAAATTTATTCACCAGTACTCAGCACCTGTGGTACATACTGGTTAGAGAAAGTACAAATGGAAAAAAATTGTTAGCCATGTTTCTGCTTATTTTTGGAGAATACATTGTGCCCTGAAACCCTAAAAAGTTAAATAATATTTCCAAAATGTATTTAAATTTTAAATTCATTGAACATCTGAAAACTCATACTAGTAGTGAACATTGAACAGATTTTATCCAAAATGTCTGCCTTATATAGCAATGAAATATTTATAATAAATGTGAGAGTATAGTAAAGTTATTGTCTATATATTACACCTTTCTGTATATGAGGATCAGTAAAATACATAACTCATTTAAGTGTAGAAAACAAGTAGTAA